CCTTAAAACTGCTCCGCTCATCATCACTTGTTAAAGCTCTTTGAGGCTCTGTGGGCTGAGCACTCCCAGGAGCAGCAGCAGGGGAAGAGCTTTGGCTCAGGAAAAACTGTCCTGTGAAATGTGTTTTACATCACCATTCAGAGTGCCCTCAAACACCTGCCTGGGATTGTGGTGGGGGACAAATGGCCATACTTTGGGTGGGTTGGGTATCTGAGAGTGTTATCTGCAGGAGACGTTCATATGCTTCTGGGAGCAATGTCCTTTAACAGACACTGCTGATGTCAGGTGCTGTAACGGTGTAGAATGATGCTTTTCATCCAGGTTAATACAGTGTGCTCTTCCCTGCACTGTCTGAGCCCTTCCAGACAGAAATACAAGACGTTTTGGGGAAGGGTTCATTACATCTAATGGCAAACAGTTGAGCAACAGGCTGCAAAGTACATATGGGTTGAGTTTTTGTTCTCCTTTAACAGCTCAGATAGTCTTGAAATACCTCCACAGCTGACAGCCATGCAACATTTTATGAGTCCTCTTGCCCAGTAAATGCAGGCAGATGTTGTAGGATTTGGAACCTTACAAGGCACTGGAGTATAGCTGGTGGGAGGTAATTCCGACGAGTGCTTAACCTCTCACTAAAAAAGTAGCAGCTTGGAGAAGGCAGTTATTTACTGCAGGAAACATTAGCTTGTCAGAGAGCTAAAGCACTGCAGAGAAGCCCTCTGAATGACCATGCAAGTCTTTCAGCCAGATGTTCTTCCCAGCACAGAGCAACACCACCCTGCAGGGCCTTTGCCTGCATCCCTCACAGGCAGCGTTGCTTCCTGGAGGAAAGCAGCTTGCTGATGCCAGAGTGCACAAACCATCATGTGCAGGCTTTGTAAAATACCATGGAAATCAGCTGACCCCCGCAGGGATTTATTTTATTAGTCCTAAATGATCAAATAATCCTCTGAGAGAACTCTCTGTGGAACCGCCGTGCGATTCATCCACAAGTGAGGGGAAATGCTTGGATCTTAGCTCTGTTGTTCTGGTTTTTTGGGGAGGGTTAAACCATGGCACAGACATATTCAGAAGTGCCCATAGTGGTCACCTTCTGAGTGTTCCTGGCCTCCCAGTTGCTGCTGGCTGTTCTAGAGAGCTGTGATAAACACTCAAACTCTCCTCCTGTGCTGAACCTCTTCCTCTGACTGTTGAGTATTTCACTGAGTGCTGGAAGAGCAAACCATCACTTTTTCTAAAGATAGCAGGTTATTCCAGTTGGAGAAGTACAGGAGGCTTGGAGAACACATCCCTGATGTCAGGCCCATCCTGTCTCCATGGTCACCACTCCCTAAGACACCACTATTCCTTTATCACACTGTGTATTCCTAAAGTGAAAGAAAACTTCCCTTTAGCAAAGCCAGAGCTTTGTTCTGAATGTCCTGAAAATAATCCTGAATATTCCCTTCTTTTCTTTACTTGCTCATACCTGGCAAGGAGGGGAAGAAATGCACTTATTGCAGTGACTGCAAGACAAATGTAGGAATTTAGAGGGTGAGAAGCTGGCATGGAAGTTTTTGCAGGAGCACAGGCCAGATCACGCACCATTGAGAGCGCCACTGAGCATGGCAGAGATTTTTAAAATGCTTGAGTTAAAAAGTGAATGCAGGGGAAATGGCAAATGAAATCCATGTGTATGAGAGCAGGAATATAACATCAGTCAGCTCACAAAGGGTCTCTCTGTACATGTTGCCCTTGGACACTCCTGAAGAGGAGGGATACATCTACATATCAAGGAAAATTCGTGGCACTGAGTATGCCTGGCACATGCACACCTTTCGTGGGGTGCCTTCACAGGCAAGAGTGTTTGGGATAGACACACTTCACAGGAACCCTTACATCTGAAGGGCTGCTCTACTTTAGAGTCCAGATTGTTTTATTATGAGCTAAATGTTCTTTAAGCTACCTGTGAATGAGGGCATTGTGACATTTTAGCAACTGGCTTGATTGAAGGCAGATGTGAGCCATATTCCATATGGAGAAGATCCAAAGGGAGAGATCCTAGGCTTGTTTCTGATTTTGCAAGGAGGAGCTTGGATGCAGTTGCTTGATGTTGAGTTACCAAGATAGATTGGGAACAAATCTCTTGCTCACACATCTACAGTATTGGAAATGTGAAATCAGCCTGAGTCTGAGATCATGGGCTGCCTTCAGATGTCAGGGAAACAAAGCTGCTCTATGAGAAAGCAGAACTCCTGTGGAAATGGGCAGTATCCCCTCAGAAATGGGAGGGGACCAGGCATTTCTGTACATTGCTTACCAAGAGGCCCCATTCCACACAGAATTGCCTTCTGATGTCAGTCCAGTCTGTCTCTGAATGCTACAATAAGTGTTATTACCTGGGGGAAAAAAAAAAAGAAAGTGGTTGCATGAGGAAAAGGGCTGAATTGATGGCATGCTGTGTCTGTTGATGGTTTTTCAGTTTCTTGAGTGTAAAATTTACTGATGCAAAAGTGAAATTGCTTGTGGCAGAGTTCATTTTGTTATGGAAGTGTTTATTTCTTATCAACAACTTGGAGAAGAAAAGCAAACGTTTGGGGCCAGTTCTGATACGTGTTCTGAGCTGATGAATTCTACAGAAATTCACAGAAAATGTGGCAGGCAGGCTTCATTCTCTGCTCCTGGAATGAGAGGGTTTATCTTTGTCTTCCTTGCCTGTGGCACTTGTTTGTTTTCCAGGCATTTGAACTGAGGGTTGAAAACAGTCTCTCCAGTCTGGCCTGTGAATGGCACAGGGTCTGGAGCTACAGCAGTCCCCGAGATAGAGGTTGATGTTGAAATGAAATATTGCTGAACCTGAATCTTTTAAGAACTTTCTTTATGCGGATAATTGATTTTATTTTATTTTTCTCCCAGTTTTGCCCCCTTCTTCTTGGGAAGAAATTCCAGATGTTTACCGACTTGGGTTGTTTGGTTGTCTAGAGTGTCCTTATTTGTAATTATTCTGCTGTAACAACCCTGAGCTGCCAAGATACAGTGAGCTTATTAGCTCTCAAGGTGTACCCCGGGGAGAGGTTTCCATTCTTTGAATGTGGTGCTGTAGGGCAAGAAAAAGAGTTGTGTTTGATCTCAGTTTAGACAAACTGTGCTCAAGTGATACTCCTTCTTTGCCAAGATACAATGACAGGAACAGAGAAGAGAAAAAACTGAGTTGCCAGGCTTGTTGAACTTCAGTTTATAGGAAATACCAGCCTTAAGCACTCTGGCAAAGTATTTAAGTATGCAGGTAAAAAAAAAAAAAAAAGTCAGGAAGTTTAAGTTTCTGTACCACAATCTTTCCTTTGGAAAATCCCCTGGGCAGGGGGAGCCTGTAGGGACACCTGAACTTTGGTAATTCAGCTAAAATGACCAAAAAAAGTTATACAAAAACACAGTGCAGAATCCACCAGAGTGGGTCTGGTCACTGAGGGAAGCTGTGGAGCAAGAGTCAGTCCCTATCCTCTCACCCCTGCATTTCCACCCTCTTCTCCCTGCTCACTCACCTGCCCTGTGAGTGCATGGACACACTCGCCCTGCACAGCTTGGTACAAAGTGCAGATTAAGTTAATTCAAACTGTGCAGATCTCTCCTTTTTCTAATTCTCTCTGATTGTTTGGAAACCAGGAGGCTCCAGTATCATGTGCAGGTAGCACAGCAATAAACATGTTCTCATCACAATTTACACATAAAGCGTGAGTCCCTCGAGGTAACTCATCCCCCTCTTGACAGCTTTAATAAAGGATGATGGATTGTTTCTAAATGACAGTTCAGGAAAATAAAAAATTCCCCCCTGTATTGTTTTGAGCTCTGGTGTACAAGAGCTGTTTTGTCTTCTGTGGAAGTTGTTTCTGCCTGTAAGCACTGGGGCTCTATTACTCTCCTTCACAGTGGTGAGAAGGGCTCGGTTACCACCGGAATATTTTCATCCTGCTGCACATCCCTGACTTTCTGGAAAACTGCAGGAGCCAAGCGTGGGTGGGGAGGGGGGAGATGCCAAGAGCTGAGCGTGGTGCTGTCTGCAGGATGCTGCTCTGGGCAGTCCCCCGGGGTGGGTTGTGGGAAGGAGGAGGGATTGGACACTGATCCACCCAGAGCTGCCTCCAGGGCATCACCTGAGCCCCTCTGTGCTGGCTCAGCTCTCCCAGCCAGGGTGTGCAGGGGGCCTCCAGGTACCTGGCAGTCACCTGCACTCTGCTTTCCTCCACCCTTTTCTTTTTAAAGGCCACATGTGTCAACAAATTAGTTCTGGAGGGTAGAACCTGCTCGCTCTCTCTCTCTCTCTCTCGTTTCTTTTTGGCTTGAGATTTATTTCTCAGTGCACGTGCTTTGTAGCTGCACTTGGCAGAGTGGAGTTTGTTCAGCTGTCCATTCCCCAGCTAATCTGGTGTCCTAAAATAAAAACAAGCAAGTGGGTCTTGGGAGAGCGGCTGCCCCGTGAAGACGTGCAGAGTGTCAGATGGTTCAGACAGCACTGCTCAGTCATTTACACGGTGAGAAGCCAGATAAGACAAAAAAAAAAAAAAGAGCTGAGGGCCTGAGCAGGGCTCAGTCTGTACATTTTGGTGATGGAATGAAACCCAGATCAGAGCCCAGTGCAGCCATGCAGCACCAAAGTCATGAAAGAGCACGTGTGGGAGGTTCTTTATATGATGTGAGGGGTTTTCCTACAGGTGATGATGATAAAAAAATATTATTCTGTTACATACTGGAAAAAGAAGTAACTGGATTTTTAATCTGGGCTAAATCCTTGTGTCCCAGCTTCGTTTCCCAGCCCAATAAGCAATGTTTTAGTGTATGTAATGAATGCCTTTCAATCAGCAAACCCCAGTAGAGCCCAAAGTCTTTACAGCCTAAGATTTGTGCCGTACTTCTTTCTGGTGATCTGGTACTTAACTTCCAGGAAGTTGGAAATTATTTGTATTAATGCATCCTGTTGCTTTAATTGCTGGTGTGTTTCCTGACTGGGATATTCTTTCCCTTAGGCACAGCAGGGATTTACCAGGGAGCCAATGGCCTGACAAATTCTGCCGGATTCAGTGCTGTGCATCAGGTATGGTTCAGCATCTACCACTGGCAACCTCCACACTTGTTTTAAACACCTGGAAGATTTGCAGATCAGAGAGATTATTCCAGGGTTCAGATCCTTTTCATGGAGGTATTGCTGTGTATTTTGCTACAAACCATTCTGCTCTGCTCCCGTGGCCTGGATTTGCTGGACTTCTGGATACGTTGATTAATTTGGAGATGTGTGTCTCGGTACACCCAGAGAGCGGTCCATGCAGGAGGAAGATGCCCTGGTGGTCTCTTGCTGTGCTGCTGTAGCAGTGCCAAGAGTTTCATCATCGTTCTGCCATCTTACAGCCTCCAGATACGTTGTCCATCCTCTGTTTCTGCAGTCCTGTCGTCTGCTGTCTTGGCACTGCGCAGTAAACACAACAGTTTGCAAGAGGCTTTTGGCAGGTCCTGATGAATATTGAGCCATCTGAGCTGTCTGTGCACTCCCTTCCATCAGAACACACCTGTCTGTGGGCTTCATGCCTCAGATCCCTTGATAAATGTGTGTGTATAAATGAACAGCATGCATATATACACAAGACAGATGTTTTCCAGTAGCAAATGGCTCTTCTTGTTTGGCCCAAACAAATGAGTACACTGTCCCAGAAAATGTGTTTTGTTTGGCCAGTAATTTCAGTTCCTTGTTTGGAAGGTGATTGTTGACTTCTGTTTTCAATGGCAACAGTGGGTTTATTGCTTCAGTTTGGCCAAAAACATCAGCATTTGCTGATAAAAGTGCATTTGATTGAAGCATGGAGGTTACCTAAACAGGGAAAAAATAATTGGGCTGTTTTCCTGATTTTGTGATGTTCTGCAAGGGGAAACAATGAAATTATCTCATTTCTTTTGCAGTCTAATTGTTCTTATGACAACTTGAGTCTTTGCTCTTGAGAGCTCCCTGGTGACTGCAAGTTAATGAAATAGCTGTGCCACAGATAAAGATGTAAGCTGTTAAAGGAGGAGAGTGCTTTTAGTCTTTCTACAGACTATTTATTATTTAATTTTATTTAATACCAGAGGCTAATTATAATTTCTGAGGAAATAAAAACCTTTTGCTGAAAGGCAATGCTCAAAGCATGGACACAGTTCTCTATCTGGAAAAGCGAATCAGTGGACAAGAGCAGGAGATGCAATTAAAATATAATGAAAGATGTTAACTCTTTTATGCTTTAAATGTCCAGAGGTTAAGTTTTATAATCTATTCCTGTGTCCTGCTTCTCTCAGAAAAAACAAAAAGAGCTACAAAGATCATGGGTGTGGAGTTTTTTGGAAGCCTTAAAATTAAAACAAAGGGTTTTGTGATACCTCAGCCTCCTGAGGTCACTCACACCTTGTATTTCTTGTTCATTTTTCTGTAGGTAGGGAAGATGACTCAGGCATTTAGTTATTGCTGAGATAGTTGTGCAGGCTGTTGTGAGCATTGCTGCAAAACAATTACTACTTTCTCTTCATCTCTTTAGTTTAAGAGCTGATCAGAAAATGTTGCTGATCGTGGGAAAATGCAGCCTGCTTGGCTCCTTCCCTCACCCAGTTATTCGTTCTGTTCTTGTGATTTCTTAGGTAATTTGTTGTTTACAGAGATTATGTATTCCAGCATGGGATTCAAAAAGCCACCCTACTTTTATATAAAATTGCTAAACTCTGTAATGCAAAATGTGTCAGCAGTGATAATTAAAGCCCTATGAAAAAAAGCAGAACTTGCCAGATTTCTGACCTCTCATTAATTGGTCAATCCCAATCAAATAGGAGCACATTTGGGAGAAGCAGAAATGTAATTTTTTTTTTTAAGTGAATGAAATACAGTCCTTTAGTGGAATATTCCTGAACTGCTTCCCACATAACACTGCTCTTGTGGTGCCTCACTCGGTCGACAGATAACTGGCACTTAACTGTGTGTTTTTAAGGTGTTCCTTTTTTTTTCCTCCAAGGAATATTCATCCTACCCAAGCTTCCCTCAGAGCCAGTACTCCCAGTATTACAGCTCGTCCTACAACTCTCCGTACGTGTCTGCCAACAGCATCAGCCCCTCGGCCATCCCCACCTCCACCTACTCCCTGCAGGAGTCTTCTCACAACATCACCAGTCAGAGCACAGAGTCACTCCCTGGTAAGAGCATCTCTTGTGTCTCCAGTCTGATATGAGCTCTATAAACACTGTAACCTTGTTGGTGGCGTTTTTTAAAATAGATTTCCTAGCCCTTAACAGTTCTGCTCGCACAGGGGGGGTTGGGAAGAGGTTCAAACCAAGCTCTCTAAAACCATCCTGTGTTATTTTTATGAGTATGCAGGGTTTGATCTCCTCTGAAGGTAGTACAGAAAGATAAAACAAGCCCCAGATGCACACTGAGGGCTAACATGGGTAGCAGTGAATTCAAAGCCCCAGTTTCCTGCATGTCTGATGACTTTTCAGCCCATATCTCTGTCAAGGTTTATATTCACCTCTTGCAGAAACAAGTAATTTGTGCATTCATAAGTAAGTACTTTAAGAGAAAAATGTACACAAACCATTTGTCTCAGCTGAAAGTTCAGGGTGGATTCCAAGCAAAAAAACGAGATTTGTGGCCTCTCTTTTAATGCTTAATTTTTAAAGTTTTAAAGCTTATATAATGGCCAGTCTAATGGTTTATGGAATTACTGGTGGATTAGGATCCTCCAGTGTACTGTTGAAGTGCAATCTTCAGTTATCACTTCCCTGCCAGTTTTCATTGGTGTGCAACAACATTTATATAAAACACCACACAACGTGTGGATGATCACCCAACACACCCAAGGCAGGGCTGCTGACTTATGAAACAAATCTGAACATCTGTGGTTGCTCTAAAACAAAAATAAACTAATAGTGTTTTTTAAAAAGAAGTGATCACAGACAGCCCTAAAAGCAGTTGGAGGATTTTCCGTTCCTTAGATCTTATCTCAGCCCTTTTGAGAAAGGATGATTTCCAAAAGGCTTGTTAGGCACAAGCCCAGCTCCTCTGAAGAAGGGGATGGTTTTTCTAGGAAGCTGCAGAGGCCACAACTTAGCAAGGTGAAAAGAAAAATATGTTTGAAGAGGATTTGTAATGTAAGGGAAGTGAAAGCCAGACAGGTTTATGAAACTCAAGCCAATCAAAACAGATACTTTATACCTGGGAAGTTCACCTTTAACTGTCTCTTCTCAGTTATTTCTAAAATACTGTCCTCTGTGAAATGCAGTGGGGCTCAGCAGGCTAATTCTGTGTTTTTAAATACAAGTTGATGTGAAAGTGTATTTTTAATCATGAACATTTGTCAAATTTTTTTAAAAAAATATATATTTTCAGAAGTTGAATTCTTTTTCCATTGCCTTTCTAATTTCTCTCTTTGAAAAGAAGTGGCGAGAGGAAAATTCCAAAAGGATTTCTTATCAACAAAAACGTGATAAGGTTTTTGAAGTGACACATCCTTTTTTAGGTGTTATGTGTATGGTCTTGGTGATTTTTGAAATTGCTTTATTCTCCAACAGTGTTAGCTACTGACGTGGAAAGAGTAAGATTTTCTGTTGATGTTTTCACGGTGTTTCTGTTGCTCGCCATGAGAAGATTTCATGCTTTAGTTATAATGGCACAGTGCAAAACTTAAAGTTTTTGCAATGGAATTTCTTTTTCCTAACAGGGGAATATTCAACAACACCAGCAAAAGATACAGAAACAGAGAGACATCACAGAGGGTCAGATGGCAAAGTACGAGCCCGGTCAAAAAGAAGCAACGATCCTTCCCCTGCTGCTGACAGTGAGATTGAGGTAATAACTTGAATTTATATTCCCTTAGTAAACCCAGCAAAGAGAAACAGTTGCATCTCACAGCAAATCCCAGAGACAGGATAAAATCCTATAACTGAAAGCTGCAGACATGGGTAGTCAAAACAATCGCTCGATTCCTGTGTTGGGAGTGTCTCAAGCTGTTCTTCATACGGCCACTTCTTTTCCTTTGGGCTTTTTCTGAGTCTGCTGCTTTGTTCCCCTGACTTGATATGCAACGAGGGATTTTGGTGGTGGTTGGAAAGCAGACTCTCAGGATGAGGAGCGCACACGGACTTCCAAAATTCCCGACGTTTCCCTTTGCCCACTCGCGCAAAGCATCTCCAGTCAGCGCTCCAAATGGGCTGGAGATCTTAAAAAGCTCCACAGTCCAGCAGGACATATTTCCTGACTGAACCTATTCCTGCAATTGCCTAATATGTAACTATATTTCTTTTTTTTTTCTTTTTTTTTTTTTTTTCCCCTCCCCATCTGTCACCGCAGCGCGTGTTTGTGTGGGATTTGGACGAGACGATAATCATCTTTCACTCCTTACTCACGGGAACCTTTGCATCCAGATATGGGAAGGTAAAATTCAATTTTTTTCAGCGTTACTGCTTGTCCAGCCAGATTGCGTGGGGAGCTGTGGGGGCAGCTCACGAGGCAGCTTCTCCAACAGGTGCTTTCGTTCCGCCGTGTTTGTGTAAACGTGTCCTGTGGCATTTCCTTGGAACGTGTGAGAATTTAATTTGCCTCCCTTTCGTGTTGCGAGTAAGCCCCTTGTTTTTCAAAAAAGCTTGTGCTGCTGGGCGGGATGGGCTTTCAGTGTCTGTCTCCTGCAAGGAAGAGCGTCGAGCAGCCAGACAGAATTTTAGCCTGAATGAGGTAACACATTTTTTGTTGGACCGGTGTTTTCTTCTGGGTCTCAGACGGCTTTTTAAGAGTGATTTTGTGTATTGTCAGTCTGGGTTGCCGTGAAGAACACTGGCTCTGCTTCCCACGTAGCTGCTGAAGCTGACATTTTTAAGGGGATTTAGGAACCCTATCTAGCTGGGCTTACTTTAGAAACCCCCCTTTGAAATGCAGGCAGTTCCATTTTTTTTTTTTGGTAACTCACTCTGTGGCTGAACAGACTGAACTTGGCTGCTGAAGAGAAACCCCTGGCTTTTGGATTTAGTACCAGGTGCTTCAGCTTCTTCCTGAGGCAGCTTTTTATGATAAACACTTAAGTCACTTGGAATTACAGAATGTCAAACACTTTGAAATGGGTGGGAAAGAAGACAATATCATTACCTAATTAAAAGTGGGTGACCTAGTTGGCAGCTGTTTCTGCACATGGCTTTGAACAGCCAGCTCCATCAGGAGAACTGGAAAATAACCCTGCTTCTCCCAAGAAAGCAGAAATATGATTTGACATCATTTCATGGCTTTACCAGCTGTACTTTTTTACAGCGGCCCTAACAAGCTGAACGTGTAATTAGTGAGATAGATTTATTGTTGGCTGGTAGATGTGCACAGTTGTGGAGGACATAAAGTTGGTGTTTGTGGTGTGGAAGTCTACTGCAGCACTTGGAATGCTGCTAACACTTCCAACAGCACCCTCTGGAAACCAAGCCCGTGTTTCCAGGCAGGGATTTGTTCCCAGCTGGGGTGATTGAAGGGGTTGCTCCTCCCAGGGAATGCAGTGAAAGAGCTGTACCTGTGTCAGCTCAGATCTGCAGAAACCTGAAGGAATTAGGCAGGATCAGGAAACCAACTCGGGCTGTGTAGCCTTGGAAACGCTGGGAATTGTCTGCTTTGGGAAACCTCTGAATCTGTAAAATGACAAAACTTCTGTTGGCTGTTTCTTTTATGCCGATTTAAAGGATGATACAAACAGGGATATTTCCTTTCGAATGAATGAATCACCTTTTACTGTCAAGTTACATCAGGCTCCTTGGGAAACTTCTTTAGAAAGTTTTTTTTTGTTTTGGTTTGGTTTTTGTTTTTTTTTTTTTTTGTAGTTTTTCATTTGTTTTGTCACTGTTAAATTCCTCAGGGCTTTCCTATAAGGGAAATGGTTGTGTTATAAAAGTATTATAGTCTAGTGGCTTGATCCAAAGACAACCAGAAGCTTTGGTGGGCTTTGGAACAGACCTTAAACCAAGAGGGAAATACAGCACATTCAGACAGGCTGTCCTGGGAACTGTTAAATAGTAACACAATTCAAAACTATCAGGTACAAGTGTAACAGAGAGCCAGAGGTTAATAGTTTCATAATCTCTTCCTTCAATAGCATAGGAAGTGTTAATCTCAAAGTAAATTAAGTATCAAGACCTAAACTCTTATTTTTTTTTTGTCCATAACTGATCATAAAAGATTCAGGTGCCTGTAATTAGACATGCACATGCTTATAATTGACCCTCACCTGTGGAGATCTTGGTTCAGGATGTCTTCTTCCATATAACATGTCTGTTTAGAGGATCTTGACCATTCCCCTGACCAACATTTATGTCCCAGTGTCATCCTGTAGAGCTGCTGTGCAGGTGCTCAAAGGATTACTCTAAGAAGTTGTTCAAGCTGAAGGATAACACCTCTTTCTGCTTGGCCCAGTTGAGGACAGGGCATAAATATGATTTTTTAGCCTTTAAGCAAATGCCATGGCTGCTCTGTGCTGGCTGGCTGGCTGTGAACTGGCCTGCCTTGTTATGATTTTCTGGGTCTAGGAAACCTTATTCCTCAGCAGTTTCACTGGCAGTTATATGTTCTTAAAAAATGTTTTCCTTTAAATGAATTATAATTTAAAAAAAAAAAAAAAAAAAAAAAAAGTCATTGAAAAGTTCCTCCTCGGCTCTACTGGAGATCCTTGTAAAACCCTAGGTTTGATTTTTTTTTTTTTTTTTTAATTTCTTGGTTTTTTCCCTGCTTTTCGTGGAATGCTTCAAGTAGCTTGTGCTTTTCCCTGCTTTGTTCTCTCCCAGGACCCTAAAGCCAGGACCTGGTTGGAACACCATGGGGATTTAATCAAATCTGATGGTGATTCATGCTTCTAATGGCCGAGCCTGTCCTTTACTGCTTTACAAACTGAGAAGGAATAAAACCCCATTTTATTGCCCGGCTGTTAAAAACTATTTGTAGAAGTTGCTAAGGTTCAAATCAAAAGGGGCCTCCCTGGAGAACTATTAGTTAATTCTAAGTGCCATGGAGTCGCTTTTTTCCTTCTCCTCTCGCTCGAGATGTGGCCTTATATCATGACTGCTGTTCAGACATCTGAGAGTTTTCCATCCCTTTGACAAACATGAGCCAAAGTGCTTAAGGACATCTGTTTATTTTATTTCTTTAATGAGAAAACCTTCCAATTTCTTCCTGGCTCAGCTGTGTTTATTTACATTTTGTTAGTCATATGTGTGGGGCACCTTGGGACGTTAAAAAACCTGCGGAGGCCTCTGCTCGCAGGCATCCTGGGCAGAGAGGCAGAATAAGCCCCTTCCTAAGGAAAACACAGTCCTTGGAACTCCATAAAATAGATTTTCAAAACAAATAGAGCCTAATTCACTCAGTAGATCACGGATTAAGTCAAGATGAATACAATTTGGAAAGGATTTTCTGAGGAAGTTGGAGATTTTTTTTTTTTTACCCACTGGAGGCTAAACCTTGTGTTTAATGCCTTTTTAAGTGAAATTAAAAAAGCATTCAATCACTGCAGGTAATAAAGGGGCCTGTGACTTTAGACATGCTGCTATATCAATTATTGAGCTCATTATTGGAGAGAAGGGAGTAAATAATTCCGGCCACGTGATTGTTCCAGCCGTGGATTTCGGGAGCGGGCGCCTGCGTTTGTCATCTGGGGCGGCTGATGAGGAACAGCCAGAGCAGGTGGGATGGTGGGCAGGGGAGATGCTCAGAGCTCCTGTGGATGTAACCTCTTGTTCTGCAGCTTAGGAGAGCAAGGGGAGGGCGAGGGGTTTTCTGAGCAAAGTGCACGTGTGGCGTTTGGAACTGTTAAAGGATTATTTCTGACGTAAAATACGTGTCGGAAACAATGCCGGGTTATTAACTAAGCACAGGGGAAACTTTGAAATCCCCCCCCAAAAAAAAGGGAACCTGCTTTCCAGTTGGGAAAAATAGTTAAAAAGGGAGCTGACTTGTTTTAGGAAGCTGCATGAGCCAAATGTGCCGTTGTGCTGAGGGTTCCACTCCGTGGTGTTTTTCCTCCAAGCTTTCCAGGAGTTTTGTGTTTTTCACAGAACCATCAGGGTCTTTCATTTCAAAATACAGTGATTTTCCTGTGGGGAGGGGAAGGAAAGGAAGATCAGTTTGGTTTAAGTTCAGCTCCATCTTCTGAAATGTATAGTACAAAGAAATAATTTTTGATCATGAGCATTTTGTATTACTAAATAAAAATAATTGCCATTTATCCTCAAGCATCATGGCCCAGCTTTTAACCTGTATTTAAGTACAATACTACCACAGGACTGGAATCCATTTTGGATTTTGTGAGTTGAGACATGGGGTAAATTACTGTAGTCGTTTCTGCCTGTCCATGAGCGTAGTTCCTTTAGGAGGAGAAGCTTTTCAACCTCCATGTGCTGTTGAATGGGAGGATTTAATGACCTACCTGCCCATTTGCTTATTGGAATAATTTCCAAGGTGAACAGATATATGACAGTAAAGAGAGTACTTCAGTAAATATTGGAAGCACTCCTTAAATCACAGTAAGGGTGAATATGAAAAGGTGTCTGAAGAAAAGGGGTTAAATTATATTTGCTGTCCATCTAGTAAATACCCACTCCCTTACTGGAAAAGCTCTGAGAGGCTCAGTCTGGCTCTAGCCTGGGTTATTAAAAAGATAAAATTGCAAGCTTAGCTACTTAAGTGTAGTTAGTGAAAGAGGTAAATGTGTTTTCTTCCTCAAAAAGACGTGGTCTTACTTGAACTAGAACTGATACACATGGTTAATATCCCATTATTATGGGAAAGTCTTGTTCATGCCTCAGATTTTCACCAAGGTATGAAATGTTACAGCAAAAGAGTGATTATTCTCACAGACCCTTTTTTGTTCTGACATGTGGCCCTGGTATTTGTGTCTTTTGCTTTTTTTTTTGATTATTATTATCATTTTTATACTCCAGCCAAGCTGGTCCACTTTCCAGGAGTTTCCAAGTAATTACACCCAATTAAAACTATTAAATTCTTTCTTTTGGTGACAACTTCATTACTAACAGCTACCCAAAAGGAGGAGATTTAACTTGAAAAGCCCTTGATTGTGTACTAATCCGTCTCTCACCTCTGGCTGACACCTGTGGCAGGTAAACCCTGGAGAATAGGAGTCTGATGAATACTCTTAATTAATACTTTCTTCCTTGTAGAAAAGTAATTATTTGCTCACGGCATAAATAGGTATTTGGCAGGGATTTGAAAAGACTGATTAGTTTAAAATACCAGGGCTTTATTTTGGTGGGTTTTTTTTTTTTAAGGGAAGTGGTGGTGTCTGAGTCCAAGATCCACGCTCAGAATGACTTTGTCCCGGCAATTTGACTGTCGAGTTAATTGTCACGTTGCTGAATGGAGGCAGAGCCAGACAACAAGCTGAGTTGTCATCCATCTCAGAGGAGCCAGTTCTGCCCCTTTGCTAATGGCCTGCAAGTCTGAACAGGGGACCTGCAAGGCAGAGGCTTGGAATGGGCTTTGGATGCAGGATTGGAGGCAGGAGTGACTTGCACTTGAGAGATTGCCAGAGATAAGATTGCTTCCCTCTTCCTTCCAGAATTCCAGGGTACAAGAGGGGAGGGCTGGCTGTGCACAGGCAGCCAACTGGATTAGTGGGAGCTGCAGGTGTTAACAAATACGTGTCTTTTCAATGCATATTCTAGGGCAAGAATAAGCAGTTTGTGAAATCTCTGTGTTTCAGGAGAGTGTTGTAATACAAAGCCTTTTGGGAGGATGCTGGTGCTGCAGTCTGAGCTGTGACTGCAGCAGTGCAGGCTTCTGGGCAGGGTAACTCCTGAAAAAGGATCTAGAGACCAACACAGCCCATTTTGGAACGTGCTGGCAGCTGTTTGTACCCTAATTTGGGTGTGCATGCACATCCTGCGTTCCCTTTGCTCTGCTAAAATACAGACCAGTCAGAGCTTCTCGTGGTGAAACTTTTAACCCACCACTGTCATGGGGAAATATTTGTTCTTTGCTCACCTCCAGTTTCTGTGGAAATCATCTTTAAGCACAGACAAGCTGAAGGCTGTTCAACAGGCTCCTTTTAGACATTTTCTGTCATAGTTACCTGGAATGAGGGGTCAGAAGGAAAAGGGAAACAGAAATTAATTTTAGGCAAGGTGTTATTAGCTCAGAGGACATCCTTGAATTCAAATTGCTGTTCAGGCCGTGCATTGGAGGGTCAGCAATGCCTGGTCATGTGTGAGCACCAGAGGTTCACACCAGAAGTGTTTTAATTTTGAGCCTCAGGGAAGCTCCAGCATCGGTGCGTGGCAGAGGTGAGGCAGGTGGGGATCCACTGTGCTGCTGCAGGTTTTATTTACAGAAGGAGTTGATTGCCTGTTTTCCATCCCTGCCTCCCATTGTCCCTGTTTGTGAGAGCGTGACTCGTAGATCAGCAGAGGGAGAACCTCGCTCTTCTAGAGTTACTAAACAAGCACTGGGGGGGGGAGTTTTTAGATTAATCTGTTTTCACCCTAAGAAGTGGTTCCTGGAGGAGATTTGTTTTCAGACTGTCTGTGGTCCTTGGGCTTTACATGCATCAGGAAACACTGGCTGGATCTGTGAGCCAGGGAGTTTGTTCCCAGAGCTCCAGGGCATACTTTTGCTACGGAAGGACATGTTGGCAGGGATCACTGGGACAAGTGTGGCAGCAACTTTATGTTGCTCTGCTGAACCCACACTGCTCCTGCAGAGCCAGTGGCATCCCCCAGCAGCACAGAGATGTCCTTCAGTGGCACAGGATTTCTGTGCCTGGCAAGAGCTCTGTGTCAACATCTACAGGCAAGTTTCATCATTCTCTTTCGGGTTATTTTACACCCTGTACATGGAATTTGGACAACACATTGATTGATACACCTGTCTCACGTGGGTGCTCTGCTGCCAGTCTGATTTTCCTGTTTGTTCATAGTTGAATTGACAGTGACCCTGTCTTTACCCAGTGTGGGTACAACCTGTGGCACAGTGGGGTTCAAGTCTGGGACTAGTGCTTGTAGGTGCTGCAGTAATGCCAACAAATAATGGCTGGAGGAACCCTGGCCTAGTGCCTCTAGACACCTCTGTCATACTGGGAGTGCTGATTGGCCTTTTAGCTTTATCAGCCTCTTTAAGACTTGGAAACCTGCCTTGCTGGGGAGGAAATGTCCATACTGTGAGAGCAGTGGTGCCAAATCATTTCCCCAAACGACTTCCCCTCTGGGTGGTAAAGTGCATTTTTCTGTTTTGTTTTCATTCCATCACATTCTGTATCTCGAGAGAAAGGGTTTGGTTTTGTTTTTTTTTTCCTCCCCTCTCATCTGCAGTTTGGTTTCCATATTGTTTAGTTTAAGAGAAGGTAACTTCATACACTGTGGAAATGTTTCCCACTCCCCATTAGTGATTAATAACAATAAAGCTAAAGACAAAGCTTAGAGGATAAATGACAGGTACCCAACCAATGAGATTTCCTGAAAGAGTTTTAAAGGCTAATGATCCTTGAAATGTACAAAAATAAATTGCTCCATTAAAAACTATTTTACAAAATAATCTCTTCCTAGCAGCGTTATTTTCTTCAGAACAGTTCCCTGGTGTAACCACACCTGGGCAGTAAAATTTGATTCAGTGCTGTTTGCTTGGGGCCGCAGTCAGATGTCCTGGTTCCTCCTGTGTCCCTGTGCCTCGTCAGGGGAGCAGCTTTGGGGCTTAAAATTAGAGGCAAGGCAAGGCTGTTGGATTTTGTTGCTTTTTGCCCAGAGGAGACAGTGCCCTTCCTTCTGGGGCAGCAGCAGGCACGTTCAAACGGGAGTGACAGAGCTTTTCCTTGATGGGCACAGTGCTTGTGAGTCACACACATGGCTTAAACCCACAGCCATTCTGCTCTAATTAAAGAGAACTACACCAAGAATGCGTAATAATGAGGTTAGTGTGTAATACACCATCCGTGTCAACAGCCTCTGCCACAAAGGTTGATTGAAATGTACCCATCCTCCCAGCACTGTTAGGGCTCCTCACTTAATTCATGGCTGTCCTCTCAGACAATAACAGGACTCCACAGAAATCTGCAGAAAATTAGAGACTACATAAAAATCTGCCCTGCTTTTAGCGTGGCTTGAGACTTCAGTAGAGGAAAACCACCCACTTGAACATCAAGATGAGAGATCCCTGACCTTAATGAAGAAGAATTAACAAAAAAACCCCAACCCTGTTGTGGGAATGCCTTTTTGTTGTTGTTTCCAGGTTGTCTGGTGTTGTTTAGCTTGAACAGGCACAATGCTTTGGGGCTGTGAGTGTTTATCAGATTGACCACAGACTGGTTTTGCTTATGTTTTTGGAGGATTTAATGAATAAATGAATTAAATGAATGCTGGTAACCTTGTGTGGTAGGATGGGGTAGTTTTAGCTCTGCTGATGCTGTTCAATAAGTAGGCAGCTTCAGTGGGGATGAAATGACTGTTTTTGATGGACAGTGCAGGAAAGGATCACCCTCTGTGCACCCTGTTGCTTGTAGCTATCCCCAAACCTTCCACTAAGGATGGAAACCAGTTTTTTTGTCTAGCCTACTGAAGCAATTCTTATATAGTTTCAGGATCTTTATATCATCTGAAGTATGTGGGCTGTTATTGGTCAAGGTGAGTTATAGACACCCATCCAAGAACAGAATTTGTTTATCTAAGGAGAGCAAAAGAAAGAATGTGAAAATCATTTTAATGTCAAGATACACTTGGGAAATTAAATTACTTTAATAAATGTATCTTCGGAAACAGGACTATGTTTGCTTTAAGATCTCCCACCCCTGTCCCCCCCCCAAAAAAAAAAAAAGAAAATCGAAGTGAATGATAAAAACCTGACTTTCTCCTTCCAGGACACCACGACGTCCGTGCGGATTGGTCTTATGATGGAAGAAATGATCTTCAACCTTGCAGATACACATCTGTTCTTTAATGACCTGGAGGTATGTAGCTGCTTATTTTATTTAACATTTCTCTCTCTCTGTTCATTTGCATGTGATCTACAAAGTTGGGTTGTTTTTGGCCAAGAAGTTTTTGGTTTTGACCCTGAAGAAATGGGCATTAGGTGGCCTGTTGGAAGCGTTCTCACTGAGTCCCCTTGAGCCTCTTAAGGAATTTTTTGGTAAATACACAGTAGCAATGATGGCTTTTGACAGGTTTACTAAATGTAATAATGAGGATGTTGCTGCTGCTTCTCCTGAAATTTGCTATTTAATAATGTTGTGAAGGTAAATCAGCACAGATCCTATGGGGCAGGCAGCAATTAGATGTGAGCCAGTGCAGAGGTTTTAAAAGTGGTCCTGTTCTTGGAGAAACTCATTTGCACAGACAGAGCTCAAGCTCAGGCACACTGCAGGATGAAATTGGGGAGTTGCAACATAAAAGACCAAGGAAGAATCCCTACACCTGACTGTCTCTTATACGAAGCAAAAACCCATCCTCCTCCTTCAGTTAGGATGATAAATAAAAGTCAGGTTTCTGTATTCCCAAAGGGATAGTTAAGAATGATACATCTTACAATGATACATCACTGAGTCCCGGGCTTAAAGAGAGTTCAGTGAATTATATTCTTAAAAACAAAACAAAAAAATAATTGGAAAAAAACCAGCGCAGGAGCAGGTTCAGCTGAAAGACCCACAAGCATTACCATATACATTAGCACCATCATGTGGTGTAATGCTGGCCTGTGCAAGACAAAATAAGCTAAAACTGCCCAGGGCTGAAACCATTTCTGACCATCTTCTGGGCTGGGGCAGAATGAAAGGGGCTGTAACTGAGAAAGCAGCAGGAGAGCTGCCCATTCGAGACCAGACCAAGAGTTCATTTACCAGGTAACACTACACACAGTCAGCATTTCTCTGGCACAGATCCACAGCCAGGGGTGGGGTGGCTGGGAGGGTTCAGCAGACTGAACTCAGTAGACAGAGCATGGCTGGCCTTGGTGCTGATGGTGCAACCAGGGGAAGGAGCAGAGGAGATGCTGCCCAACCCCTCCAGAGAGTGGTGGTAAATCACAGCTGGTAAATCACAGTGGTTGCAAATCTCGGGGAAGTTAAAATACAAACTCTGGGCTTTCCAGGGCTGTGCTTTTCCTCCCAAGATGCCTTTTGTTCACAGTATATTGATGGCTGAAGAACAGCACCTTCCACCCCCAGTCCCTCTGGAGGTATTCTTGACTAACACTCTGGGAAACAGGTACTGAGGACAGGAGGACTGACAGGGGGATGAGGAATTAACAAACAAGGGGATTAGTGTGTTTACAATGACTGCCTTTCAGAGCCATCCCTGGAGGTTTTGTGTTGTTGGGAACTGTTCCACCTCCTCTGCCTAATGAGGGGTGAAAGCTCCACTGCTCAGTGAATCAGATGTTTTGAGATCTCCAGCACAGTCCTGCTACACCAATGGAACACGTGTGTGCTCATCAGTTGTTTTCATGTGTGCATGAGACATACCTTGAGAGTACTGAGAGGGAGTGTGAGGGAGATCAGAAGCAGCTTCTCCTTGAATCCTCGGGAACAGCCTGTGTTTCACCAGGAGGCAGCAGAGGCTTTGTCCCAGCCAGCAGTGCCATTTCAAAGCTGCATCAGCTCAGGCTCCTTCACACGTGGGTTTGAGGGTCTGGTCCCACCTGGAGGGAGGTTGTGCAGCACCCAGAGATGTCCAAACAGTTCAGTGCCCAGAGCTGTGAGGGTGGACTGAGGTTTGACTCAGTCACAGGCTGTGAGATCCCTGAGTATCAATTCAGAACATCAGGGGCTGTGAAAACTGGGATATGTCCCCATCACAGACCTCCATTCCAACAATCTGCACCTTCCCTTCAGCGGCCCAGATATCCTGCCCTGACTCCCCTGCTCTCTGAGATTTCAAGGAAATTCTGCAAGGATGAAAAATTGGTCTTGTAACCAAGTAGTAAAACATGGTCCACGTCCTTGCTGCTGCCAGTTCCCCCAGTTCCCCCCAGTAACACGAGAGGCTCAGCCAGAGGACTATGAGGTAGCGTCTCAGCCAGTGTCATGGTATTTTATTAACTTAGAAATGTGATAGCTACTGTTGTCACACTTGAGTGTACAGAACAATTCATTCACAAATGAGAAAAACAGATCCCTCCACAAATACCTTTCCCCTGACTTAATGCCCTGCTTTGTACAACTGGAGTGGGGTGGGCTGCATCAGTGTTATCCCAGCCTGGTTCACAGCAGCTACGGGGAGGGGGGCTTCAAAATTTAGGAGGATGGAAAAGAGAGAGAGAGAGAGGTGCCAGCAGAGATCTGCTGTTCAGCTGCTTGGCTCCAGTTCTGTACAGAAATATACACTCCAGTGATAGGTTGATAAAAGGGCTGGTGAGATGAGAACAAGATAAAACTGTGTGTCTTTTTGAGAATTATCTAAAATAAGTGGTGCAGAAAATCTCATCGTTATGGACGAGAACTACCTGTCATGTTTTGCCATTGATAGCAAGTTTGGTTACTTGTTTGGGGATTTATTCTTTTTTTTTTTTTTTTTTTGAAAGGGGCTGGTTTAAAGTAATTCATCAAACTCACAATTGTGTAAGGAAGGTAAAACAAATTCTGTGGTTTACAGAACAGTGAAGTGGGGAAGAATTTACTGTGCCTTGGTTTGGTGCAGTTGTTCTGGTTTCAGAGTCTTGTTGTACCAGGTGCAACACCTTTCCACCTCTGTTGAAAAATCAGCCAAAACAAGAGGTGGTGTTCATCAGCTTGCAGGCTTTGTGTTGTGTTCTCACCTCCCAGGGTCTTGGAGAAAGGAGAGTTAAGTTGGGGGGGGGAACCTTCCTGATAGGAAATGGACCAAAGGAATAACATTTCTCACATTTTTGAGGCAGGGCCTCCACCGTTCAAGCAATGAAGAATTTGGGGAGATAAGATCAGAGCACACAACTCCACTGCAGGCCGAGCTCCAAGTGGATATTCTGGTTGAATGCCCTGTGCCCAGAGTTCCTCACTGCTGACACCCAGCATTCCTGAGCTGTGTCTGGGGCAGTGAAAGGGTGCTGCCCTCACTTCCTGCACATCAGGGGCAGCTCAGCCCCCTCAGAACAAACCGGGAAAAACAGGGCAGGAGGCTCTGGAAGTTTCTTTGGGACGGATCTTCTCCTCCTGTAATTATGTGGGCACACACCTCCTGTCTGAGGCAGTATTCTCACGGGGGGAGACGCTGCCAGATTTCTGCCTTATCATGCATGCAGAGTTGAAAAAAAACCACAGCTTTCCTGGCTGAAACACAAGCATCTCCCTCCCTCCTGTCTGCATAGGAAGGAGTTCCACTTACTGTGTTTTCCAAGGGCTGTTGTGCCTTTAGATAACGGCAGATCTCTCACACACATTCTCTGTCTGTTCATGTTTTGGGCTGTGTGATACTTGTCCCTAACAGTTAACTGGCTAGACTAAGCCAGACAATATTAGAAATATGTAAGATCTTATCTCCTTAATATTGAAGTAGTTTTGCATCATATTAGTTCTTTTTTTTTTTTTTTTTTTTTTTCAAAGCATTTCCTCACTGCTGTATTTATTTTCACACTCTTCCCAGGACTGTGACCAGATCCACATAGATGATGTATCATCAGATGATAATGGTCAGGATCTCAGGTAAGGGATCTCTGAAAGCTGCAGCTCTGGTAGACGCCAGCTGTTTGGAAATAGTGGGGGGCTGGCCAGTGATTCTCAAACATGC